TATTTCTTCCAAACTGGCTTTTTCATAATGAATAAGAACTCTATTATTACATGAAATCACAAATGTTGAAAGTAAGTGATTAAAAGATCGAAAAGTAGCATAATCTACCTTGATCAATAAATACTGATTCGAATCTCTTACAAGGAGTTTCTTAATTGAGGAAGTGAATGAAGAATTTCCTGTTTTAACAACATTAAAGCAAAATAAGCTTCCTAAATTCTTGTCTATCATTATATTTTCCTTAATTTCCTTGTCCAAAATTGCAATTTCAGCATTTAATCTATAACATATTCCAAGAAAGAAGTTTCTCGTATCTACCTCTGAAGTAAATTCTCTACATGCTTCTTTCATTAACATTGCAATCTTTCTTGATTGATAATGATATAAAAAATTATCCCCATCCATAATATTCCTAATTGATGTACAAGTTGCATACAATGAACATTGTGTATCCAAAGAGGAAAAACTACAAATTTCGTCCAAAATTCCTAATTCCATCGGAAAACATTTTGTCATCATTGAATTATTAGCTGCTGCTGCGGATGACACTGCAGAGGAATTCAATAATGGAGTTGGTGATGATGATTCATTAGAGATCTTTGCAATTTTTTGCCCTTCATATCCAGAGTTAGATTCAGCCTCTGATGATGTTCTTTTCATTTTTTTTTTATTGTTTATTTCCAGATAACACACAACATTCTCGACATTCTTTGATGTTCCAATTTCAATTTGATTGTAAACAAGAGTAAAAAAATTGAAGATGAGTTGAAAATCTATTTGTGTTAATATAGATTGAAGTAAATAATGGTGATTTAAAAAACACTAATATTAGAATGAATATTAAAAAACCAATTCAAAGAAAATGTACTCACTGCACCAACACACTACTCAAGATGAATGTAATGATCATTCACATTCTGATACCTTCTTCGATGATAATAGTACTATTGAGTCATTGCTCAATGATGATTTGTTTTCACACCTTGCTGGCAATACTCAAGCACCATCAGAGAGTGGAGTTTCTAATTCTTGTCATGATTTTGAAGATGATAACGATGATAATGAACGAGTTGACAATGAAGAAGAAAGTATGCCACCTTGTAAACACCTAACACCAGATGCAAAGAAGGAGAAGGAGGAATTTGTTGCTAGAAAATTAACAGAAGAGGAAATTCCAATGGAAAGAACAATATTTTGCAGTAATTGTACTTCATGCACTTCATGTGTCTGTCAGAAGAATAAGCTTCCCTGTACAGTTAAATGTGCATGTCAAATTAAATGTAAAAATTTGAGAAAAGAAGTACTGACTGATAATTGGATTCAACACAAAACCTTACCAGAAAGAAATATTGAAAGTCCACTAATAGTTGGTCCAATTAATGTGAAACAAGATTTATCCATAAAGGAATCATTTCAATTGATTTGGACACCTGATATTATAGAACACATTTATGAGAGAACCAATAGAAAGGTTGAATATTGGCAAATTTACTCAGATGAGATTAAAATGTATAAACTTGCAATTAAAGACAAATCCAAAAAGAGAAAGAGAATGAACAATTACTCTAATCCATCTGAATCCATTGAATTATGTTCAGATATAGAATATGATCAGCCAGTTAGAACTCCAAAAAAGATATTTCCTGATTTTGATGAATATTTCACAAAATGTAAAACTGAAAACAAAATATTAGAAGAAAAGTTTTCAAGAAAGCAAATTACTAACTTTTTAAATATTTCTATATTGATGAATACTACATGTAAAATTCCAAACATTTGCAATTATTGGACAATATCAGGACTTGATGCAGCCCTTTATGGAAATGGAATATTCAGATATTTAATGAGTAGATCAATGTTTAATCAAATCAAGCAGAATTTAACATGTGACTCTGATTTTTTGGAAATGAGAGTGAATGAGAATTCTAGAAAATTTTGGAAATGTTTCAAAGAAATTTCAGTGGATGAAATAATTGCTCCTTTCAAGGGAAAGATTAGTGACAAACAGTTTCTCCCCACCAAACCTCACAATTATGGATTGAAATATTATACACTATCTGATTGGGTTGGGTATGTTTATGCATTTTGGTTGTCAAAACACGAACATAAATCAGATAAAATTGTTTTAGATCTTATTGAGCATATTGATGATCCACAGAATCATATTTTAGGTGTCGACAATTATTATGGATCATTAAATTTAGCAAATCAATTATCAGAAAAAGAATGGAATTATGTCATGACAGTGAGGGCTAATAGACCAACATTTCTTTTCAGTGATGGATTGTTGAAACATCTCAAAAGAAGCAAAACTAAAAAGTGGACTCAAGCTGTCCATAAAAACAATCACATGGCTGCTGTTTCTCTCAATGATCACAAAAAGGTTAATTTTTTAACTAATTTGGGAAGTAATCAAACATTTCATTCACAACCACTTGTTCAGAAATATGAAAGAATGGGTTGTGTTGAATTGTCTGGAATCAATCTTTACAAAATGGATGTTCCCTTCGAGGTAAATAATTGGAAAATCATCCATCTCTTTGAAGTTCTACGTATAGCTCTCGTTAATCAATATTTAATTTATAAGCATGTTAGAAACTTAACTAATTTGACCCTCAATGAATATTTGCAAGAGGCAACATTATCTCATTGTGAATCCACCAACCCAAATTTCAAAAGAACAATACATTTCCCATCCAGTGTCAAAACTCGTGGACTTTGTGAGCATTGTAAGAATTTTCATTCTCTCACTCCTATCAAATGTCCTGCTTGTAATTCCTACCTTCATCAAAAGTGTTTTGTAGATTTTCACCTTAAAAAACACATTTATTATTAAACAATTAAATCAAAGATATTTAGATTTCAATAAAGTATTGAATCTTAATACTTTTTGCCATCAAAACCTTCAGTTTAAGCGACTAGAAAATAGGGGGAACCTTTGCCAATTTTTCAATACCAAACAAAGGGATAAAAACAGTTTAATAAGTATTAAGTTATTTAATAAAATACTTTTAAGCAATCAAGATCTTGTTTTCAATCTATGACTAAGAAAAAGACTACAGCACCACAGGTTCCCAAGTTGTCTCCAACCTCAGTACTGATGTGGCTCGACGATGCTTAACTTCTCAAATCGGACGGGATGAGGTGCATGAATCGTGATATGGCCGTAGCCATTTCCTATCATTAAATCTTAATTTTGAATAAGAATATTACTGATTTTTAAATCTAATGTTTTCGTCTATGAATTCTATCTATTCTAACAATATTCTTTTCAATTTACAATTAAGACTATAAGCCTGCCAGGAATATGGCGACAATCCCGCTACAGTCTTTGACTGTATGAACAGTGAAGGCAACGATCTTGCGATAGTTGGTTTGTTCAATTTGGTTGAGGAAATTAAGAAGATAACTGGCCTACTATTTATTTGTTGGCAATTAGCAAAGTTCTTCTTAAATTTTGGTTTGATTCTTTCACAAGATCAAATTTTGAATGCTATTGGTAAACCAGTCATGTCATTTGTTGTTGCAGATTTCGAAGATTCTGATATGGAAGAAGTTTATCCAAACGAACCAGTTTCTTTGAAGGAAGGAGAAATTTTCAAATTGTATGGTAAAATCAAAAACTCTGGAAAGGAAACAGCTAAGGTTGCTGTATCTTTCAGATATGGTTCAAAGATTTATCACATTCAAGAACTTGATATTCCAACAAGTGTTAACAATGTCCCTGAAGAGGCTGCCATTCTTCCAACTTTGTGGGCTCAACAAAAGATTGACTCTCTCTCTGCATTCCCTCAACTTTTCAAGGATGATATTAAGAAGATTGGCCAAGAATTTAGGATTGTTACTGACAATACTTCCCTGATTGTTCTTGAAACTTTGAGTCAATATCAAAAACATGACATTGTTCCGCCAAAGACTCTCACTGAAGTCTATAAACAATTCATGCAAGTAAAGACATCTGCACAAGAAGCTAAAGATAAGCAAGAAAAGGAAAAGTTAGAAAGAATTATTAGTATGTGGAAGGAAAGAGTTAATTGGCATAAGACTGACTTTAAATTACCTGAAGAAAAGCCAGAAAAGGAAAAGAAAAAGTTGGCTGCAATGGATGACTGTATTTCTGAATCTCTCTCTGTACAATCCTCTAGTTTGGATAGTTGTTGTAGATGTGAGGAGAGTAGAGAATGTTGCAGAGAATGTTGCAGACGTTCTTGTGCACCATCTCCAAGTTGTGCTAGAAGTTGTTGTTGTCGTTCTGCTAGTCCTTCTTTGAGTTGTTCAGATATCAGTTCAGGTCCACCACCACCTTCTGGAGGTGCAGGTAGTCCACCACCTCCTTCTGCTAAGTCAGTAGCCTCTCAAGAAGAACCTAGTGTTGCTGGTACCATTAAGGTTAAAGCATGGACTCCAGATGCTGCTTATTGTACTGCCATTAGTCAAGCTAAAGATCCATATGAAGAATATGTTAAACAAAGAGAAAGTTATAGAGATTCTCCAGCTTTCTATTTGGATGTTGCTGACTATTTCCTTTCATCAGTTAAGAATAAGGAAGTTGGTGTGAGAATTCTTACCAACGTTTCAGAGCTTGAATTGGAAAATGTTCAACTTTATCGTATTGTTGGTTATAGACTTGATCAAGCTGAAGAATTGGAATTGGCTGAATGGGTCTTTGAAAGAGTTAAGAGCATTAATGGATTTGAACCTCAATCATACAGAGATCTTGCTCTAGTTAAGGAAAGAATGGGAAAGTATGAAGAAGCTATGGAATTGTTCAATAGAGTTATTGTTGGTAAATGGGATCTTCGTTTTGATGAAATTGAAATGACCGTTGCTACAGAGATGAACCATCTTTTGCTCAACAATCCAGAGTTACCAATCATTGATAAGAGATTGGTTCACAAGTTTGACCTCGATATTCGTATTTCAATGGCCTGGGACACTGATAACGTTGATATTGACTTGCACGTTCAAGAGCCAGGAAGACATGGTGAACATGCTTATTATGCTCACAATAGAACAAGAATGGGAGGTTATGTTTCCAGAGATTTCAGACAAGGATATGGTCCAGAAGAATACATGTTAAAGAAAGCTCAAAAAGGTGCTTACAAAGCTACAACAAATTATTTCAGTAACCGCCTTGACACATGCCATTTCAAGTTGGAATTTTGCTGGAAGGGAAATTACTGAATATTTGGTTCAAGCATTTGCTGGATGTAAAATACCATATTTTGCAGAGCATCCAACAGATGTCATGACAGATATTAAGCATAATATTTGCTATGTTGCATTGGATTTTGAACAGGAAAATGAAAAGGCACTGACTGATGTTTCTTATGAATTACCAGATGGAAGCTTGATTAACATTGGATGTGAACGATTCAAATGCACAGAGGAATTATTCAATCCCAATCTTGATTCACATTCTGGGATTCATGAACAGGTTTTCAATTCTATTAGAAAATGTGACATGGATATTAGAAAGGATATGTTTTCAAATATAATCTTAGCAGGTGGAACAACAATGTTTAAAGGATTGCCAGAACGAGGGAAAAAAGAGTTAAGCATATTGGCTCCATCAAATGTGAAAATCTGATGAAATTGGACCTTCAATAGTACATAGAAAATGCTTTTAATGTTGCGATTGGAGAGTAATATAAAGAAATAATAATATAATATTTTATTGATTTAAGCAATATCAATTTCACAAACGACAATGTCTTGCTTTTGTGAAGATAATCATCAAGATTGGATGTAATTCTGGCCTGCATCTCATAAATGGTTTGTCTCCAAACTAGTTCCATATCAGACATGTTGGTAATGACACAATGTTCAATTGGATATTTCAATGTACAGATACCTCTCTTAGCAATGGCTTCATCACCAACTACAGTGGTGCTTGTTGATTTCTTGTGATGGCCAACTATGGTTGGAAAGATTGATGTCGGAGTATTGTCTTGTTCATTTGCTATTCCTACTTTCATATTA